GAGCGTGCGGGCTTTTTAGCAGGGTCTGGTACCAGCCTGGGGAGTGGAAGAAGTAGCGGCTGCGTCGCCAGTGAGAGAGGAGGGGCAGAATGTGAGAGTTGGAGGAAGCTTTTTCTGGGGAAAGGAGGGATGTGTTTCTGAGTCCTGTCAGCACGTCTTGTGCTGGGGATCCCCTGCTCTTGGGGACAGCGAGTGTGACTGTCTGCTGTGGGACAGTGTCGATGGGAGCCTTGCTGTGTGGTGCCAGCCCAACACTGTGCCTCCCAGAGTGTTGCTGTGAGGCTTTATAAGCAGGGGGATGGATCCCTGAAACCCACTTGGATCTTTGTGTTTTCTGCTCAGGCACCTTCAAAGAGTTTGCTTTGTAGAAGTCCCTGAGTTCTTGTAGCCTTATCAGGTTGCAGGAATGTACTTGCTCAGGGCTTTGGCAATGATTTGGGAGTAAAACTTAGATGCTTAGTGAAGTTACTGGTGTTAGACCTGGTGCTCCATTCCACAGCTGGCACCTTGGAAAGAGACTCATTCCTAAGGGGAACCTCAGGTTTTGCATGGTGATGGTGCAGCTGCTGTTCCTTGATTCAGTTTGTGTTTCTGGAGTTTTTAGCTCTCACTTGGCTTTTCTCTTTCTCCTTTCACAAAAGGACAATGTAAATTATGAGAGAAATGAATGAGAGAAAAAATAAGTCTGATTATACAAATTAATTAATGGGGGTGGGTGGAAGGAAGGAATAACTGTATCTATTATGTGTCATAAATTACAGCAGCAAATGAAGATGCAGCCAAGCAGGTGTGTGCTCTGTAGCTTTGTGGCAACAAGTTCAGTTCCATCCTGGTGTGTCTCTGCTTTGTTTTCTTCTCTTTCTTTTTTCTTGTTTACCCATTGGCTGGGTTTGGTATGTTTCTGTGAAGGTGAAATGTCCTGGACAGGTTCAGCTCCTGCAGATTTTATGAACACAGACTGGAAGAGAGATTCAGCCAATGGAAAGGATGTGGTGGGAGCTCAGTCTGTCTTAGGTGGGACAGAAATTGTGAGGGGGTGGCCAGTGACAGGGTGGGTGTGGACTTGGCCTTGGCAGGTGTTCTGCAGCTTTCCTGGAGAGGATTTTAAACTTCCTGTCTTAAGAGGAATGGAGATAAACTGTTCCTCCTGTCCAGCATGTGTACAGCTGCCTCCCAACTCTCTTACAACAGGATTTCCAGTTCAGAGCCCTGAAGAAGGTTCGTATCTTTGATGCTCCGGATGAGCTTCCCAAGGAGCGCTCCAGTCTCCTGGCAGTGTCCAACAAATATGGGCTGGTCTTTGCTGGGGGAGGAACCA